ACTCTAATCATTTACAGGTTATGAACTGGTTATTACTCTAATCATTTGTAGTGATACACGTGAGGTACGTGTCACTTGTTGTATGACAAATATATGAATTATATATGCATACAATATTCACGAGTTCTTCATTTTTCTGACTGTAAATGCCGTGCATTGAATTTAACACAAAATGTAACGAGAGACGTTATTTATCTTTGACCCATCAAATGAATGGAATCATTTATTTTCAGAATCAAAGTTTAACATCAAACATTTACATTAATTTGGCAAAATATGAAAATAATAACAGACAGTTTCACAGAAAATGAACTTCAAATCACTCGGCGGTGATTTGAGGACTTTGCTTCAGACATTTCTAAAAATATCTGTACTGTTTTATGAGAGAGAGGTGAGTTTAAGAGTAAATTGAGATTTATCTTACAGAGGAATATGTGAGGGAGATTTAATCTGTTTAACCAGAAGTTGCACGCTCCGTCCGATCTCAGCTTCTCACGGTACACTTGGTCAAAATAGAACCATCTACCTGTTGACGATGAATCAGCGTTGGATGTAGTTCCTTTCTGACTCGTTTCAGCGTCTCCGTCGAGAGCTACCAAACCTTCAGAAAGTCGTGCGTTGATTAGCTCAAAACAGAATTATAATCCCAAAAAACCTCTGGATTCTTCATTGCTCTGAAGCTTTCAGAACCGACTGCATTCTCAATCTTTGAACTCTCATTTCCTTGGAATTCTGAAAATCTCCATCAGCTCTCATTCTCTTGGACTCTCAATCTAACTTGAACTGGGGAGTTGCCACATTTTATTTGGGTCGACTTCCTGTTCAATTTAGAGCTTTCTGATTCGTGGAGGGACCAGAAAGAGGAGTGGTTTTTGACGTAAGGTGTTTATCAACAGTCGAGGTCAGAGAATGAAACTTGTTTAACATACAGAAAAGATTATTGCAGAAGCAGCAGACTTTTTGGAGTCTACTCTTAGTAATCTTCTGAAAAAGTTTAAACATGACATTTCTTCTTCAGTAAACATTTTAGTTGACCGAAGACCAACCTTTCACATACTTACGACAGCTTGCTCATTTCAGACAGAAAGATCAAGAAAGGCATATTCAGGTGATTTCTGCTTTGAATGAGGAACAAAAATCATTACTTACTGTTTATGTAAAATAAAAATTAGTAGTTCTTTTCAACCTGTAAAGCATTGAGTGAACTAACACAATTTGATTATCAAAACATTTGTAAGACAGTAATGATTATAAAGAATTGTCTTTTCTGCTTGATTAATTCAAGAAAGAAAGTTCATCAGATGGTTCAGACTTATTCAGATCAATGAAAATAACAGTCTCTGTCCATCTGGTAGATTTGAGGTTATCTGGTTCACTACAGTCCCCCCTTTGGAAATCATCACCTGTCCATGGGGATGAATTCCAACCGTGAACTTAGACCTTCAAATGTCCTTGAGCTTGATGTAATCCAGCAAGGAAGACCAAAGTCAGAAGTAATCCAGAAAGGAAGACCAAAGTCAGAAGTAATCCAGCAAGGAAACAAAGTCAAGGTAATTCCACAATGTTCTTGGTATTCCATTGTGTTGATTATAATCCCATATCGTCTCGATAATCCCATTGTAGCAATGCCTTAACCCCTTGGAAACAGAGTCTGTAATCCATTGGAAAAAGTCATATAATCCACAACGGTAAATCCACAGCGATTGGAAGTGTTGATTAATCAGCATACAGAGGGGTACCCTTGGATTGAACTGAAGAAGCGGCCACTGGATGAAGAGTTGAGACCAACGTCAGGATTGCAGATCGCCTCCAGCGAAGGTTGTCTCCAGCGACGTCCAGCCTGTGCCGTTCTGGTTCAATGTGTCATGCAATTATGTGGTTTAAGGTGGGCTTATGAAGGGGATTTTACATAAGGCCTTAAACTATATGCACCTGGTGTGTAAGCTATTATGGTTGGGAACAGCTACAACTACCAGTTAAGGGGTGGAGAATGCTGAAAAGGGGTAACTACAGGGGTTTATGCCTATAGAAAAGTGTTCCAAACTATTTTTCCATTTCTAACTTGGTTTAAGTTAGCTTTACATGGTAAAATATAGTTTGGTTCAAATGTCTGTTGTCTTTTAGACGAACGACTTGAGATTGGGTGTTTGGTTTTCCCATAAATGTTTTGGAAGTCTATGGCGAGACTTATCAAAAAGAATTAGCTATCCCCCCGAATAGAATTGTTCGAGTAGGTTCGGCTTAAGCGTTGTGAGATCAATGTAGATTATGGTACTCAAAGTAGCAATAATATACATTGACTCCGCAAAGATTGCAATTTAGTGAATGAACTGCATGTTGGCATGGTTAAAGGCTTCTTAGTCTCTAACTTACTACACAACAAAATTCATTCTTACCTCAGAAACAACCAAAATCAACTAAACAACGTTCCAACACCGACAAGAGTAGTGACTAAGCATCTAGAAACATCGTTTCACAGCTTCTCCTCACCCTGGTTGCCAGATTTCAGTCACGCTGTCCCGCTTTATCAAGGGTAGGTCCTGTGAGTTTAAACTATGGTTAAGTTTCTTATCCATTAGTTATCTTCTGCTTGGATGACCCTTGTTCCCACGAGGTCAGATTTTGTGATGTCTTTGTCTCCTAAGGAGTTATTGCACGCCTTGTGTAATTTAACCTGGTTACGGTGTACCCATTTAACAGTTGGCTCTTTTTGGCCTTTACTGATTTTTATCTGGTAGATAATTGGAGACACTTTGTCGGTTATCAGATGGGGTCCAGTCCATCTGGGCATCAGCTTACGGGCGAGAGTTCCGGTCCCGGACTCTACTCTCCCAGTTTTGGGTGCAAACGTGTAGTACCAGACCCTGTCTCCCACTTGGAGTTCCTCGTAAGAGGCCTTTTGGTCGTAGTACGCTTTGCGTCCTTCAGCTGATTTTTCCAGGTTTTTCTGTGCGAAAGCAAAAGTGTTCTTAAGATGTCTTTCCAAATCTTTCATGTATTGTTGTGTGGTGTAGGCTGTTGCCATGGCAGCATCGCCTGGTTGGTACAGCAGGTGCAGAGGGAGAGTCATTTGTCGACCCGTCATCATCTCGAAAGGAGCGATGCCAGTCGACGTGTGTGGAGTGGCCCTTATGGCCATGAGGACCAGAGGGAGTTTCACGTCCCAGTCCTTGTGGTTTGCGGCTACGTATTTTTTCAAAATACTCACCACCGTCCTGTTTGCTCTCTCAACCTGGCCTGAAGCCTGTGGGTGGTAGCCAATATGGAAGTTGGCTTTGACGCCTAGCGTCTTCCACAGTTCCTTCATTACTTCACCTGTGAAGTGTGTACCTTGGTCCGAGTTCACCCTAAGGGGAAGTCCAAACCTTGAAAATACATGATTCATTAATAACATAGCAGTGGTTTGTGCTGTGTCATTAGGGGCTGGTAGACATTCTACCCATTTGGTAAATGCGCAGGTTACCGTGAGAAAATATTTATTTCCTCTAGAGGTCTTAGTGAGTGGTCCGACCCAGTCAATCTGGAGGTCCGAATTTCATGAATGACTGTTTAATCCGTGTGTAAATTGATTTTACGTGTTGGCATGGTGAAAGAGTAACAGCTGATGAGCTGTAAAGTTTACGCAGCGGCTGAGCTGCGCGCTTGGAGCTGCACTCTGCAACTAAACGCTGCATGTTTAAGCGTTGGGCTGGCAATGTTTTAAAAGCTGAAATTGTGTCATAAGTCTTGTGTAAGCTGAAATGGTACGTCTGTTATGTGTAACTAAGAGCTAATGAGCTGTGGAAGACGTTATTCTGTCTAAAAAGTACGAGGTTCTGCTTTAAGACCCGGCTGTGACCAGTTCGGTTCTGTTCAGTTTGAACGAGTATTTTGAACAGATGGATAAACGTTTTAAAAGCTGAGTGCCATCTCAGAACACAGTTAGAAGTTGTTTCGTTACAATTTTTAACAGAAAAAGTGCATTTTGATGGTTTAAAAGACGAAAAAGTGACGAACTATTTTAAGCTAATCTAACTTGCTAGGTAGAGAAAACGCTTCCTGATTGGTTGAATTCGCTGTTGTGGAGCGCTTTCATTGGTTGAGGTTTGACTGACGTGGCTACGTCACTTCCCCTCAAGCCTGCGCTGCGTTGCCATTGGTGATTTCATGTCACGTGACCCGGATATGAAATTCATTTTCATAGGGAAATAAAATCTGCTTTTTAAAGCTAAAAAGCTCCCCTAAAGTGATTGTTGACACACTGTTAAGTGCTTCGAAGCCTGCTCGCTGAAATTCTGCCACGTTAGAGTTTAAAATTCGCCAAAAAAACGATGTTTTAAACAACGCTAGCGATGCTAATTTTAAGCTAACAAGCTAACGACCGGGGCCTTAACTACGCCTAAAATCACTAAATGAACCAGAAATATTGTTCCAAAAACTCATGTTCAGGCTAAAAAGTCGTGTTTGTTGAAATTGTGCCACTTTTGTGTAAAAAATCCGTTCAGAAATGTTGATTTTGACCGAGTTTAGCCGAAGCTAACTTTAAGCTAAGCGGCTAACAACAGGATGTCAACCGAACGCCACAGGAAGTTATAGCTCCCCTAGTGGATAACACAAACAGTGTCTGAGTTAAAATTAGTAAGGTAAGGCTGACATCTTCTGGCGAACCTTGAGAAGACAGGTTTCACTCGCTTATTAGGTCTAAATAGTGAAATTAAAAACGTTTTAATCTTTCTAAAAGCATTTTCGAGTCAATAAACGTTCCTTAAAGCTGAAAATTACTGTTATCTTGCATTTTAAAAGTTATAAGGTACTTATGCAAACGAGCATTCACCAAAAAGTTTATTTCACTGTTAAATCCTTTAAAAATAAGGTACAAAAATAAACATTAACTTTTTAAAAATAGAAACAGTTACAGATTTTCACAAAGTTGGAAAAAGTTTACTCATTTGCTAAAAGGATAGTGCACGTTTAATTAATAAATCACTAAATAAAAGTAAATATATCAGACGAAGAGACTTTACTGATTTTATTTATTTTGAAAAACCTAAAACATTAAAATTCTCCTGTTTAAACTTTAAATAGAAGAAAAATGCCAAGCGACAATGAAGAAGACACCTCTCCAAAACCAACAAATGATGACATCATTTGGGGGCCTTACATACTTTAACAACTCCACTTATTGGCAGGAGAAAGGAGTACAGTTTTTCTGAAGAAAGACTGAGTATTCCTCATCACCAATTTCTTTTCTCTTTTCACCCACCTGGGTTGATGAGTAACTTTTTAAAATAGCAAATTTCTGGAACAGAACGGTTTAAAAAAACGTTTTAAACTAATATTGCTGTGAGACTAAAGGAAAATTTGCAGGTTTATAAAAAATTCAGTGTTTTAGAGT